TGGTGCTGCGAGCAGCACGGGAGCGGCAGCGGCTGCGGCCCGCTGACCGACCTCCACGGCAGCGGCCGCGCGCGGCCGCGCGAGCTGCTGGGCGGGCCGCGGCAGGTGGGCTCAGGGCTTCTCGTCCTCGCCGCCGTCGTCGTCGTCCGCGGCGCGACGGCGGCGGCATCGGCGTCGGCGTCGGAGTCGTCGGCGTCGGCGGCGTCGAAGCTCGAGGACCAGCATCGAAGATGGAGCGTCGAGCATGGAGCGTCGAGGACCGTTGTCGTCGTCATCGTCGGCGGCGACGGCTCGATGCGTGTCGTCGGCGTCGGCGTCGTCAAGCTTCGAGCATCGAGGGTTGAGGTTGTTGGGCGTGTGGAGGTCTCTTCGGGCCTCCGGGGTCGCCTTCGTCGCCACGGTCCGGCTCCCCTCGAGACGTCCTGCCAGATCACACCCCTGGACAGGTCCAGGGCGGGCTCTTGGACGTGCTTGCGGAGGGGGCATCAATAGGCCACGGGTCGGCCGGATGGCGATGGGGGGATCAGGACATGGGGGGATGAGTATCCGGTACCGTTTTGTTGGGGTACAATTTGTACCTTCTCTTCGGGTTGCAAGTACAAATTGTACCTTCTCCCCCCCGTCAACATCCTCGCACATGTCGCGGACGTTGTCAAAAGTACAATTTGTACCTTGTTTGCGTGGCGTCGGTACAACTTGTACCTTCTCCGTGGGGCGTAGGTACAATTTGTACCTCGGTTGCGCCTCCCTCCCCATCTGGACTTATCCCCCCATTTGCATCCCGCCAAACGGGCCCAGGACGAAGACGTGTCGATCCAGAGCGTTCCAGAACGCGGTCGGACGGTACAAGAACGCGCCGGAAAGGCCGCGGCGCCCGGTGCATCCTCCACACACGATGGCTCTATTCCCGGTGTATCTCGTTCCGATTGGTGTCTCCTGGCGTCGCCTCAGAGCTTCTGGGGCCGGCAGCGCCACAATCCGCGCGGTGGCGGTGCAGGAGCACCAGCTACGCCCAAACATTCCCGCACGCCGCCATCGCGAAGCGCGAGGTTGCAAGGGAGCGGGCCTCATCGCTCATCTGGTGGCAGACATCCTTCGAGCTCTGAGCCCCAGGTGAGCGGCGCAGGAAAAGGGGCGCGACTGCGCCAGCATCGGCGCGTAGGTTGCCAGAGCGCAAGCTCGCGCGTACGCGCCCCCGTCGCCAAGGTAGCGGTGCCGCGCCGGCGGCCCGTGCATAGGCCACCGCGGAAGGTGGACCATGCCATCTCGCCTCAGACCCGTTGCTGACCGCCGCTCGACATCCTTCGGCACCCGCTCCATCCTTGGCATCGCTCGGACGTGTGCATTTTTCCTTCGGCGAGGGCCATCGAGGAGCATCCTTGATCGTTTGGCGAAAAATACCACGCACGAAGCCGACAGAAGCACAGGGAATGGACATGCTTCGGCACCCGCTCCACCTGGCTGCAGACATCCTTCGAGTTCTGAGCCCCGGGCGGCGCGTCAGAAGCCTGGCCTGCGGAGGCTCGGCCTCCAGCCCAGGGAGGACGCGAGAGAGGGCGGCGGGGCTTCTCCGAGGGCGCGGGAGTCCCCTGGGCCTTCCGAGCACGTTTGTGCTGCGCTGGTGGCCTCGGCGCGCTCCCCGAGGACACGGACGACTTCTGAGAATGCTCGTGCTGCGTGAGCTCTCCCCGAAGACGCAGACAAACTCCTCAGACCGTCTGCGGCCGCGCCGGTGGCCTCGGCGCCTCCCTGCCTCCCCCGCGCCTCGCCCGCGCTTCGGCGCGCTCCGCCGCCGCTCGACCGCAGCCTGGCCCTCCGGCGGCCGGTGACCAAAAGGCTCCCGGCATCGCTTGGCCGTGCGCAACTTCTTCCCGGCGAGCACCTCCGAGGAGCATCCTCGACCACCGGGCCAAGAGAAACGCGCGCGAAGCCCAAAAGTGCGCGCGGAAGGGACGTCCGAGCTGCGGCGGGGGTCTGTGCCGCGCTTCTTCTTCAACCACCACCCCCGAGAGCTTCACGACGGAGCCCACGCAGCTGCGAGGAGGAGGAGGAGGAGGAGGAGGAGGAGGAGGAGGAGGAGGAGGACCGCGCCGAGGGGAGTGCATCCTGTGGCCGGCCTGGCCTCTGCAGCGCAGGGGCGTCGGACTTCGGGGTCTGCGTGGCGCGGCCGGACGGCAGCGAGGTGGCGCCCAGCATTCGAGTGGGCTCGATGGATCAGCGATCTCCTCCTCCTCCTCCTCCTCGCTCCTCCTCCTCCTCCTCCTCCTCCTCCTCCTCCTCCTCCTCCTCCTCCTCCTCCTCCTCCTCCTCCTCCTTCCTGGCGCGGCCGGACGGCAGCGAGGTGGCGCCCAGCCTTCGAGTGGGCTCGATGGATCAGCGATTCTGCACTACACCCTCCCGCCCCACAAGTCCTCACTGCGAGCACTGCCAGGAGTGCTGCGAGGGGCACGCTTCTGACGACCACCCTCCTCGGGGAATGGTGGGGGAGCGGGAAAGTGAAGCGATCTGGAGCTCCGCGATCCAGGCTGTGCTTGGGCCGCCCGATGCCGAGGCGGAGCGGCTGGAGGCCGACCCCTCCGTCCTGCGCAGTGTCTCGGGCCCAGGACGCAAACGAAAGCGAGGGGGGCCCCTCGGACTCGACGCCGACGACTCCGCCCGCGGGGCCGAATGCATAGGACTTTCGGGAGCAGCGCTGACGGATCGACGCGGTGGTCCCCTCTGGGCTCGACGCCGCCGCCGTGCCGGCCGCAGAGGCGCCCTGGTTCGGGGGCCAGGGGCCAGGCCCTGGGCGGCGCGGCGGCTCTTCTTCAGGAGGGGGAAAAACATACAGACACAATTAATCGTCGATTCCCAGAAAATATGGGAAAATATGGGAAGTGAGGGGGAAGACAAAAACCCAGAAAATATTGGAAAATATGGGGGATATGTTTATTTGTGTGTATTTGTTTGTGTGTCTCAGTTCCCCTTCACTTCTGCGGCATCGATGCGGAGGACTCCGCCCGCGAGACCGGCCAGCATGGTTTTGCGGGCACCGAGGTCGGGCCGGACGAGAAAGGGGGGGATTGGGAAAGGGGGGGTTACGAACTTCCCAGACCCCCTCGAGTAATGAAAAAATCATGACGGGAGGTTTTTCGCCAGTTTCGGCCTCTGGGGGCCCTCACCGGGCCTCGGGAGCGTCAAAAAACGACTCAGGAGGACAAACCGGTCCTGGGGAAGGGGTCGAGAACTCTGGGGTCGACGTAATGAAAAAATCATTACGTCGGGGGTCTGGGTTAGCTGCGTGTAGCTGGTTTCGGCCCCAGCGAGGGGCCCATGCCTCGATACAGAAGCGCCTCCGGCGCCGGAAGGCGCCGGGGAAATCAGCTACGTGAGCGGATTCTCACCCCCCCCCCCTTTGCTATCCCCCCCTTTCGCCCGACCCGACAAAGCTGGGAGTCTTCCCGTGCCCCTGCGGGTGGCGTGGGCAGACCTGGAGCGGATAGTAGGAGAGCGGAGGCGGGCCAGAGGCGCCAGTCTGGCGCCCAGGCCGCACCCAAGCGGCGACCCTCTGAGCGGGGAGCTTGGCCCCCCGTCCCATGGCGAGTTCAGGGGCTGGGCCTGGGCGGATGCCGACCCTCAAGCCCTCCGCTTGTTCTTCGTTCGACGAGCGGGTGGTCCAGTGCACGCCTGTAGAGCGGGGGCGCCCCTGCTAGCTCCAGTTTCAGTATCAGTCGCCAGCGGGCTTCTGGCAGAGTCTACTTCGTGTAAAATCCAAGAGTGGCTGGCGAGTTGCGCTTCTTCTCCTTCGTGTACGCTTCTTCTCTCTCGCTTGCGAGAAGTGTCTGAGCCAGTTCATCGATGACATCATCGGTAAGGAGCTGCTGAGAATCTACCCCGGAGGTGTGGTGTTCCTCTTCATCTGCAGTCGGGCCGCTGAAGAAGGAACCCTCCTCGTTGGGGATGGGCCCAGTGTTCCTCAGTTGATTTGCAGCTTGTCTTGGGTACTCCTCAGGTCTTCGATGGAACAGCGAAGCTCCACTCATGGAACATCGGGGCCTCGCCCCGCATCTTGGGGCTCCGCGTGACAGCGTCTCGACTGCACCCTCGCCTCCCAAGCCCCTGCGTGGCGCGGTCTGCGCTGCGCGAGGCGCCCCCCCCCGTGGAAGGTGGCCGCCCCCCTACGGACCCGCAGCCCGCGCGGGAAGTCCCCGCGCTCCGCGGGAGCTGTCCTCCGTGCGTGCGGCACGGCAGGCCGTGCAGTTGAGCGACATGCTCCGCTTCGGGTGCAACTCCTGGGAGGTCAGAGTCTGATTCTGTCCTGGTCCGAAATCCGGCGTAGTCCCGCTTGATCCCGCTTGCTCTGGCTTGATCCCGCCTGATCCCGTCTCGTCCGGCTTGATCCGAGGCCCACTCCGTCGTCACGGCCCCCCAGTGGGGCTCAATTCTTTTTAGCCCTTCCGACGAAAACCTCCCAGTAGTTGCCCCCCAACTCAGCAGCAGCCAATTTCTGAAAGGGCAGCGCCCTTCATCAGTGTAGCCGTTGCTGCTGGCCGTCTTTCAATATACGAAGCAGAAGAAGCGCCCTTCATCGGTGTAGCCGCTGTTGGCAACTCTTACAACAAACGAGTCAGCCGAGGAAATCGCCGGCGAGAGCCCCCCTTTGAAAAGGATCCGCCCTCACTCCGCGTCGCCATTGCATTGTTCTGGTCACGTACATTCGACGAGGTCTCCTGCGAGAGCCAAATTTTGACAAGGAGCTGACCTCAATGATTTTAGCGCGATGTCAGATTTCTGGTGGTATCGTGTTCAGGGCAGTCTGCGGCAGACAAACATAATCGCGCTCGACCGCTACAATTGCTGGGCTGTGCACAGCGGCAAAGCGATAGCCCGTTCAAAGCGATTCGCCATCCATCCGTGAAAGTGCTGGACTTTTTAAGCACGAGAGTGCGCGGCGTCAAAGTGAGAGCCTCATTTTCAAAACAATTCGCCCTCCGTCCGTGTAGCTGTTCGGAAGTGTACGTTTCAAGATCGTACGCGGTGAGGACGTATCAGGCGAAACGCCTGGTGGTGCGACAGGGAGCGGCTATTTGCCATGAAGCGTGAGAATAGAGGAGGAGGAGGAGGAGGAGGAGCAGGAGGAGGAGGACCAGTGTGAACCCAAGAGCCATCAACGATGTTGGAATTTCTCTTCACTCTTTGCGTCTCCCCACCAGCCCGCTCAAAAAAGCCGACGGGAAAAGGGACGAAGAGTCACATATAGTGAAACAGAGCTCGGCGGATCAATGGGGGCGACGGGAGCAGGAGGAGGAGGAGGAGGAAGAGGAGGAGGAAGAGGATGAGAATGAGGATGAGGACGAGGATGATGATGATGATGATGCTGATGCTGATGATGATGATGATGATGATGATGATGATGCTGATGATGATGATGATGATGATGATGATGATGATGATGATGATGATGATGATGGTGATGGTGATGAGGATGAGGATGAGGATGAGGATGAGGATGAGGATGAGGAGGATGAGGATGAGGATGAGGATGAGGATGAGGATGAGGATGATGACGCTGATGATGATGATGCTGATTATGATGATGCTGCTGATGATGGCGATGCTGATGATGAAGGTGACTATGATGATGTTACGAGGATGATGATTAAGATGATGATGATGCTGCTGATGATGACTATACGGCTGATGATGTTTAAGATGATGACGATGTTGTTGATGATGATGGTGATGATGATACTGATGCTGACGATTATGCTGGTGATGATGATGATGAGGAGGAGGAGGAATCATAATAATCAGAACAAGAATAATAATAAGAACAGTACTCATAAGAAGAGTACTAAGACTAATCATAATAAGAAAAATAATTTGATTATTAACAATAAAAGTACTATCATTTGTAATAATAATAATAATCATCATAATAATAGCAATACTGATCATATCAGTGATACAGTAATAATAATACGAATAACACTACTCATAGTCAGAAGAAGAAGAATAGTAACAATAGGAATATTATTATTATTATTCATAATAATAATAATAAAAATAATAATAACAATAATAATAATAAGAAGAAGAATAAGAAGAAGAAGAGGAGGAGGAGGAGGCGGAGCATGAGCAGGAGGAGGAGCAGGATGACGATGAGGAGGAGGAGGAGGAGGAGGAGGAGGAGGAGGAGGAGGAGGAAGAGGAGGAGGAGGGGGAGGGGGAGGAGGAGGAGGAGGGGGAGGAGGAGGAGGAGAAGAAGAAGAAGAAGAAGGAGCAGGGAGACGCGCGGCGCGGCGGATTCAAAGCGAGGCCTGGGAGCCGCGCTGGCTCACGAGCCGCACTGGCTCCAGCGCTCCCGTCGTGCTCGCCACCTTCACCTACTGTGGGCCCCGGGGGCGCGCGCGCGCGGCAGCGCCCAGAGCGGCCATGGCGGGCTCTCGGCCCGAGGCCCGGCCTCCCCCCGGAGCGCAGGCCGCACGGGCCCCTCGGCGAGCCCTTCGCCGCCACCGCGGCGGCCGCCGGGGGGGCCCGCGGCCCGACGACCTCCGAGCGCCGCGGCGTCGACCGCCGAGCCGCCCGAGGCCGCCGCGGCGGCGCCGCCGCGCGCGCCGCCGGGATCGCCCGCGCCCGCGCCGCGCGCGCCTGGCGCCCGCGGAGCGGCGGCGCGGCCCGGGCCCCCGCCCGGGGGCGCGAGCGGCAGCGCGGCGCCGGCCCCCGTCGAGGGCGCGGGCGGCGGCGGCGGCACGGCTCGGGCGCCCCGTCGGGGGCGTGGGCGGCGGCGGCGGCGCAGCTCGGGCCTCCGTCGAGGCCGCTCCGCCCGTGGGGGTCCCGAGCGGCCTCGGCGCGGGGCCCGCGGAGGCGGCAGCGGCTCGCTCGGACGCGCCGCCGCACGTGACGTGCAGCCAGACAGGCGGGCATGTCGAACACGCTCTGCGTCTCCGACGCCGTCGGCGAGTGGGCGGTCGTGGGGGCGAAGCTCGTGCAGGAGCTGTCGGAGTTCGGAGAGGCCGCCCGCCTCGACGCCGTCGGCGGCACGCTCGGGACCGTACTGGCGACGTACTTCCACGCGCGGTGCGCCCAGAGCGTGCTGCTGCACATGGCGCCCCGCGCTGAACCTTTCCAGTCGGCGCCACAGGACTGCCGCATCGTCTTGGCCGACCTGCCGGGCTTCCTCGCGAAGAGAGGCTGCGCGGCAAGACTCCAAGACCTCTTGGGCAGGGGGGGCCCACACCCACAGGCACGAGGCGCTGGCGGGCGTCGAGCTCTGCGGCCTTCGCTCCGCGCACGCGCCCTTGGCGGCGGCGGGTGGCTGCGCCACCCCGGCGCCCCGCAGCGCTCCTGTGCCAGCCGCGATGCAGACGCGCGGCCTCCTCGAAATAGTCCCTCACCACCCACCAAACCACCCAACCCAACCCGAAGGCTCAGATTTACCCTCGGTTTCCAGTGGGGGGGGGGGTCCGGGAACATCGAAAAACACACATATGGAGCCCTCACCCCCCCAGCCCGAAATTCGGGTCTTCGGGTTGGGTTGGTGTGGTCTGGTAGGTAGTCAGCTCCAGCGCCGCCGCGGGCGCCGCCGCGGCACGGGGCGCCCGAGGGCTGCGCCCTCCGAGGCTGGCCCTCGAGGCAGCGGCAGCGTCCCGGGGCGGTGTTGCAGAGCCTTTGGTGGTCTCCAAACCAGGTGGTGAGACACCCGTTGGTGATCCCGATTCCCCAAAGAAATAACTCTGGGTCGCCACCGGGCTTGGGGGCACGCGGTCGCCACGAGGTGTTGGGTTTCCTGGGCCAGCCGGCGCTCGAAAACCATTGCCCAGATCGCCCAAGACTCACCACCGGGTGTTCTCACCACCACGTTTGGGGACCACCAAAGAGCGGGCTGGCGACGTGACCGAGCACCTCCTGGCGCGGACCAGGGGCAGCAGCGGGGGCCTCCAAGAGCTCGACATCACTCCAGGGGCCATCCCCAGACCTCCTCGCGTCGCGAGAAAATCACGACGGGAGGTTTTCCGCCACTTACGCCCTCTGGAGGACCTCACCGGGCCTCGGGACCGTCAAGAAGCGACTCAGGACGACAAACCGGTTTTAGGGAAAGGGTCCAGACCTCTGGGGGTCGGCGACGACCTGGTGAAGATGACGGGGGCCCTGCGCATCCCCGGCCCGCCCAGCATCGTGGACGACGCCGCGCTGTCCAACCACCACTGTACAGTCGGGGCCTTGAAGAGGGAACCCTTTTCGTTGGGGAGGGGCTCCGCGTTCCTTAAGTGTTTCACAGCTTGCCTCTGGTTTTTCTTAGATTATCGATATGAAATCGAAGTTTAACTTGTGGAAAAGGGGGCTTCGTTCCTTATTTAGGGTTCCTTAGGTCAAGGCCCCGACTGTAGCTGTCGTTACTTTGGGGCTCCTGAGGCCAGAGTATGGGGGACGTATCAGGCGGGAGCCTCGTCTGGGGGCCCGCGCTTCATGTTTTTCCCCGTATCCTAAGATGGGGTTCTTGCTATTGCTCGGACGCTGCCGACTCCAGAGAGAACACACCTACTCATACACAGACTTACTCATACTCAGACCTGCTCATACTCATACCTTCTCATGGTCTCACTTACTCAACACAACATGCAGGCCTACTCATATTCAGACCTACTCATGCTAGGACTCCTTCATACCCAGGCTTACTCATACCCAGACTCGTTCCCAGACCTGCTCATACACAGACTTACTCATACTCGGACCTACACACACTCAGACCTTCTCCTAGTCTGAGTTACTCAACGCACGGGCTGAGACCTACTCATACTCAGACCTAGTCATACTCAGACTTGCAAGGGGAGCCGCCAGGAGTGTTTTCACGGGCCCGTTCGCGGCCAGTTTGTGGGGATGTCTCAGGCGGTTTGCTCGTTTTCATGCCCAACATCCTTTTTGCTTTCAGAGCAGATTGTGAGGATGTCTCGGGCGGGGCGCTGGTTTCAGCACCACTTAAGGGGAGCCGCCAGGGGTGTTTTCACGGGCCCGTTCGCGGCCAGTTTGTGGGGATGTCTCCGGCGGTTTGCTTGTTTTCATGCCCAACATCCTTGGCTTTCAGAGCAGATTGTGAGGATGTCTCAGGCGGGGCGCTGGTTTCAGCACCCCTAAGGGGAGCAGCCGCGAGGGGTGTTTTCACAGGCCCGTTCGCGGCCAGTTTGTGGGGATGTCTCAGGCGGTTTGCTGGTCTGCATGCCCAACATCCTTTGCTTTCAGAGCAGATTGTGAGGATGTCTCAGGCGGGGCGCTGGCGTCAGCACCTGTAGAAGGAGCCGCCAGGGGTGTTTTCACGGGCCCGTTCGCGGCCAGTTTGTAGGGATGTCTCCGGCGGTTTGCTTGTTTTCATACCCAACATCCTTTGTTTTCAGAGCAGATTGTGAAGATGTCTCAGGCGGGGCGCTGGTTTCAGCACCCCTAATAGGAGCCGCCAGGGGGTAGGACACGGGCCCGTTCGCGGCCAGTTCGTGGGGATGTCTCAGGCAGTTTGCTTGTGCTCATGCCCAACATCCTTGGTTTTCATAGCAGATTGTGAGGATGTCTCAGGCGGGGCGCTGGTTTCAGCATCCTGAAGGAATGTTGCCAGGGGGTAGGACACGGGCCCGTTCGCGGCCATTTTGCGGGGATGTCTCAGGCGGTTTGCTCGTTTTCATGCTTCGAGGAAGGAGATGAGGCGTGCTGCTCCCTTGGGTCGTGCTCCGGCAAGTACCCTTTGGGACGCACGGTGGAAGGAGTCGAGGCGTGCTGGTCCCTTGGGTCGTGCGCCAGCATGTACCCTTCGGGACGCACGGAGGAAGGAGTCGAGGCGTGCTGGTCCTTTGGGTCGTGCTCCGGCACGTACCCTCTGGGACGCACGGACGAAGGAGTCGAGGCGTGCTGGTCCCTTTGGGTCGTGCTCCGGCACGTACCCTTCGGGACGCACGGAGGAAGGTGATGAGGGAGGATGCGTGCTGGTCCCTTGGGTCGTGTTCCGGCACGTACCCTCTTGGACGCACGGAGGAAGGAGTCGAGGCGTGCTGCCCCCTTGGGTCGTGCTCCGGCACACACCCTCTGGGACGCGCGGAGGAGACTGCAGGAATAGGAGGACCTGGAGCACATTTTTAGGCCATTCGAGTCGATAAACATGGGAAATGCTACCGTCCTTTTTTTATAAAAAATTGCGTTTCCGGGATAGAACGGCGAACTTGGCGCAGACCAGGCGCCGCAGCAGATGACAGAGGTGTTCCCGCCGCTGTCGAGATCTTCCGACGCGGGGGGAGATGCGGGCCATCCTGGACTTCGAGCGCAAGCCCTGCCCATCTCCCTTCCTCAAGGATATGTCGGACCTTCCCTTCATGAGCGCCGCGACCGACGTGAATGAGAGCGATGACAGAGTGCAAGAGCTCCGAGCGAAGGGCGCCTCGTGGCGGAGCACTTATGCGGAGTGCACGCAAGCGGCGCCGCGCCAGAAGATCGAACTGGAGCAAGCTCAAGAAGCGGCGCTCGAGGTCAACGCAGAGGAAGACCACGTGGAGGAAGCTGCGCGGCCCAAGCGCAGACTCCGAGGCAAACGGCCCCCAGTGGCCTCATTTGACAGCGAGGGCGCCTACGAGACGCCGATATCGGAGCTACCCTCGAACAAGCAGCTGAATCGGCGACAAACGCTGTTCATGGTGATGTTCGCGGAAGCCTGCGGCAAGGCCTGGGAGGAAGATAAAATTATCCCAGTGCGACCCTACCTAGGAGTTGGAGCACCTAGGAAAGCAGCATTAGTAGTAACAGTAAAGCTAAGCTAAAGCTAAAACTAAGCTAAAGCTAAGCTAAAGCTAAGCTAAGGCTAAGCTAACACAAAACTAAAGCTAAACTAAAGCTAAGCTGAAGCTAAGCTAAAGCTAAGCTAAAGCTAAGCTAAAGCTAAAGATTAGCTAACGCTAAGCTAAAGCTAAGCTAAAGCTAAGCTAAAGCTAAGCTAAAGCTAAGCTGAAGCTAAGCTGAAGCTAAGCGAAAGCTAAGCTAAAGCTAAGCTAAGGCTAAGCTAAAGCTAAGCTGAAGCTAAGCTAAGCTAAAGCTACGCTAAAGCTAAACTAAAGCTAAGCTAAAGCTAAGCTAAGGCTAAGCTAACACTAAGCTAAAGCTAAGCTAAAGCTAAGCTGAAGCTAAGCTAGAGCTAAGCTAAAGCTAAGCTACAGCTAAGCCAAAGCCAAACTAAAGCTAAAGTTGAAGCTAAAGCTAAATATAAGCTAGCGCTAAGCTAAAGCTAAGCTAAAGTAAGGCTAAGCTGAAGCTAAGCTGAAGCTAAGCGAAAGCTAAGCTAAAACTAAGCTAAGGCTAAGCTAAAGCTGAGCTGAAGCTAAGCTAAAGCTACGCTGAAGCTAAGCTAAGCTAAAGCTAAAGTTGAAGCTAAAGCTAAGCTAAAGCTAAAGTTGAAGCTAAAGCTAAAGATAAGCTAACGCTAAGCGAAAGCAAAGCTGAAGCTAAGCTGAAGCTAAGCTGAAGCTAAGCGAAAGCTAAGCTAAAGCTAAGCTAAAGCTAAGCTAACACTAAGCTAAAGCTAAGCTAGCACTAAGCTAAAGCTAAGCTAACACTAAGCTAACACTAAGCTAACACTAAACTGAAGCTAAGCTAAAGCTAAGCTAAAGCTAAACTAAAGCTAAACTAAAGCTTAGCTACAGCTAAGCTAAAGCTAAGCTAAGGCTAAGCTAACACTAAGCTAAAGCTAAGCGAAAGCTAAGCTGCAGCTAAGCTAAAGCTAAGCTAAAGCTAAGCTAAAGCTAAGCTAACACTAAGCTGAAGCTAAGCTAAAGCTAAGCTAAAGCTAAGCTAAAGCTAAGCTAACACTAAGCTAAAGCTAAGCTAAGGCTAAGCTCAAGCTAAAGCTATAACTAAAGCTAAGCTAAAGCTAAAGCTAAGGCAAAAGCTCCCAGGGGACTGGGGGAACCGCGGGGCGGGGACTGGGGGAACCGCGCGGGGCGTGTAGCAATGCCCGGCCCCTTTAAGCTAGAGAGTAAGAACCCTTTCTAGGCAGAGCCTAGGTAGGGAAAAAACAACGCGCCGCCCGATCAGCGAGAGCCCACGCATCTGCTGCCCCTGGGCGATGGGGGCACCGGCAGGACGCGCGCGGTGCAGCGCTTGGTTTTCAGGGCAGTGGAATACATCTGGCCCAACGAGACGCCCGAGCCCCCGTCGATGCTGGCGGTGGCGTCTTCCAACGCCGAGGCGAAGAACATCTCTACCGCCGAATGGGAAGCGCGGGCTCTGCACAACGCTGCAGGCGTGCGCGTCCAGGCGATGGTCAACGCGAAGATGCGGCCTGGAAACAAAGCGCGGGCTCTCGAGGTGCGGTGGAGGAACGCGAATGTGCTCGTCATCGAGGAGGTGAGCATGGCGTCTGCCGCAAATTGCGACATGCTGGACTTCCGCGCCACGCTCGGGCGCACCAAGACCCACGATGTCTCGGAGGGCAACTATAAGAAGCAACGGTGCAGTTTTGGTAGGTGCCCCATCGTCATCCACCTGGGCGATTTCCCGCTGTTGACACCGACTGCGCAGCTCAGCCTCGTGACAGATCCCAGCGAAAAAGACGAGGCCGGCAACTGCGCGCTGTCGGAGCCGCCCCCCCCTTGATCCAGAACGCCCTCAGGGTCGCCAAGAGGGCCGCCTGTGTCATCGAGCTCAAAGGGGCGAAGTGCTTCGTCAAGGGCGATCCCTCCATAGAGCTCTTGAGCTGCATGCGGCAGGGCAATCCGATCCCCGACCCTGTCCGGCGGGCCTTCGAGGCGAGGTTTGCCAGGGAATGCCCCGACGCGAGCCCCGAGCTGGACCCGCGGCGCGCGCAGATGGAGTTCTTCGAAGGCTACGGCTTGGCCATTGACTGGGAACCTCTGGCCCGCTGGATCACCGAGCGGGCGCGGCGCGACGCCCGCGCGCACGATGTGCCTCTGGTTTTCCTGCGGGCTGCCGACGAGTGCCAGACCATCAAAGACAAGGAGACATACTCGAAAATGCTGAACGTCGCCAATATTTACGACGCGGGCCGCATGCGCGGCGCGCTGCCCGCCCACGTGGCCACCGGCAAGTTCAATGGCAAATGCGGATTGGCCCAGGAGCAACGGGCCACGATCGCCGACTTCGTGTTCCACGTGGGCGACCAGGTAAACGACAACAACGCGGGCCCTGGCGAGCTCTTCAGGCCGCGCCGCTCGCCCACTGGCATCTGGTTGCAGGTCGACGATTTCACGGAGGCGCCGGCGTGGAAATATCTCATGGACTACGTCGGCACAGAAGAGAAGATTGCACGCGGCCTCCTCTGCATGCCCCTGATGGAGACCATCTTCACCTGGGAGGCTTCGCCCGCGGCACACCGCGTGAAGCGGTTTGGTTTCATGCTCTCGCGCGCGTTACCTGGCGACGACAGCTTCGCAAGGGCAGGCGACGCGCGCCGCAGCGACCATTGACTGCGCGCGCCAGGTGCCTCGGGGGCGACGAGGCATCAACGATGACACTTGGTGGTTGAACCTCTACGTGATGT